AAAATCCTAAAAGTATACAATTTAGTCCGACTGGGCCCACAGTGTAAACTTTCTCATATCCACCATCTACCTTCTCCAAAAGTAAAACGTTTCAAAGGTTTTTCTTTCTTTATGCGATTTTTTTAAATGATCGTTAAGACCATGGCTGAGACGGTTGTATTTTAAACTATTTATTACTTGATTTACCTAATTAGATCCTTATAAACTATGTCGACAAGCTGATATGTCTCGTCCTTAGCCCTCTTGGGTGGTGATAATACCTAATGAGACATATTTCACTTGCAATACTTATTAGTGAACTTTGTCTTTAGTATAGCACCCTTAATTAGTCTGATGAGTGGTAGCAAAAAAATTTGCCGGTTATTTAAGACAAAGCAAGACGGGTTTAAAATCAGTTGTGATTTAGTCATTGCATTTAAAGTATTTACTTTTTTTTCGATATATTACGAATTAAATTTTAAAATTAAAATTTCTGACGTGCTGTGAACTTAAAATTCAAAAAAAATATATACAGAATTTCTGTCAATCAAGCAAATTAAATCGAACTGTAAAAGTTTGGTTTCGTATCAAAAATGGCGGCTGTGCATCGATATAAAAGTACGAAAGTTGAATCAAGTTCACTAAAAATCGATGATCTTAATTTTCATTGTCTATGGCACATTTTCGATTATCTTAAATTAAGTGATCTCTTCAATATCTGTGCTCAAAACCGCAGCTTGAGAAATGCTATTTTATCATTTCTACGCGAATGCTCCCCAAAATTTGTAAAAGTGGAACTGTTTAATCCTTTTCAAAAAGTCGATTATAGTCTATCGAAAGACATGCTATTAATTAAGGACTTAAAAACATGTTTGCTATATCTACGTTACTTTGGTCATACGATTTCAAAGTTGGAAATCTCATACTTTCTGGTCCGCAAAAAGTGTCAAATCTTTGTGAACGAGTATATCAACGAGTATTGTTCTGATTTGGAAGAAATAATATTTTCATATTGCTCCGATATGGCTGTAAACTGGCGAAAACCGTTCAAGAATGTTCGAAGTGTTCACTTCGACAATTGTCATCTAGAATGTGAAGACAGTCAATTCAACAAATGGTTTCCAAAACTACAGGATTTAGATCTTGTCAATTACAATAAATTTAAGAGTCCGGACTGCATTGCAAACCATTTTCCGCACTTAACACGTTTTACAACAATAGCAGGGAAAATTTCATCTGAAAGGGATTTCCCTGAAGCTTACGTTGAAACTGCCATACAACTGAACCCACAACTGCAATCTCTTCACATTTATGAGAATGCTAACGATGATTTTTTTTTGCATAGAATAAGCCTTCAACTAAAACAACTTGAGACACTTCGTATTGATTGCAATTCTCGTCAAAACGCTGAAGATATTTATTTCGAAAATGTGAAAAATTTTATATTTTCTCCTATAAAACTATGGAATGGTGATCTTCAACGTATTCCATTCAAATTTATTACACTTGACAGTTTTAGCTTCCACGTGGGCATTTTACCGTTTGGCGCATTTTTGGAGTTTTTAAAAGAAAATCAATCAATTACTAAACTACAGCTTGTATATTGGGGCGGATATCACGGTATTCCTTTCGATGATTTAACAAATAGAACGTTTGCACAAATACTACCACTTTTGACAAAAGTTCATATGACAAAATGTCTTTTCTCGGGACGTGAAGCACTATACCATGTGAATCAATTAAAATATTTGCAAGAATTTCATTTCACACTTAAATATAGCAATTCTTTTGATGGATTATTGCAAAGGCTACCCGAGTGGCAGGGAACTATAAATAAAGATAATTTGGTCATGTTGAAACGCTCCATTAATTAAATTCAAACATTGTTTTTACATATTTTATTTCTAATTTGGTATTATTGCGTAGAATTGTCTTGTTTAAAATGTAGTAAAAAATCAAACTGTATTCATTTCTTATAAAAAATATAAACATTTAAAACCAAAACACTCTTTTTTATGTTTTAGCCGATTTTTGTGGGGGAAATAAAGTTTTCTCATCGGGAAAAATCATGTTTTTTATTATGTCAAATTAATTTAAAGTGTGTGATGCTTAAATGTTGATCCCGTCAAATGCCGCTCCATTCTTTTTGCCTTTTATTCTAACGACCTTTTCAACAAACAATGGCTCATTTTAATATATAATTCTCAAATGAAGTTGTAATTAACGACAAAAGAAAGGTTTAAGCACAACATAAATGTACGAATATCTCAAGGCGATGATAAGTTTGAGAATAATACACAAGGACCGCTCTGATCTGCAGTTGCATATATTAATAATAAGAGAATATAGCTTTAGACAAAATCGATTTTACACATTTTCTGAGATCGAAATTTATTAGACCGCTCGTCTATAGAAGTACTAAATATAGAAAGTAGCGGAAATCTCATGGAAACTCACTGCCAGCCAAGTAATAAATAGATACAGTTGCAAACAATCACGCAACAATTTGGCGGCTATTAATATCATCAACAAATCTATCTATCAGGTAGAAGCAGTTTTGTTTTGCTTATTGTTAGAAAAATATACATAATTTTCACAAACAGTACCCACCAATATAAACTCAGTGAGCCGATACTGAATTGATTATAAACTTTTTGTTAACATTGTTTTTCGATTATAATTTTACTTTAATTAGAAAACTATAGTTTATTGAAGATTGAACAAAATTCACTTGATCTTGGTCTCCTAATCGCAAGAAAAAAATTGCATTTGCATTCAATTATTAATCCATATAACCATTAGGTAGTCCAAACTTGAAGAAATTAAAATGAATCACAGCAAACCGAAAGTGTATTGTATAAAAATAATCAATAAACAAAAAATAAATTTCGGAAATTTACATTGAATAATTTTGCATATTTTTAATGATTTTATTATTATTTTTTCTCAAAATTAATTTTAATGAACCAATTCTGAAGTCATCATCATTGATAAATCATATCGTCAATGTTCAAAAGCTTACAACTTTTTCGGTGCGAGTAAATAATAATAATCAACGAATTAATGCATAGCTGACAGTGATTGTTTATTGCGTAAAGATGCGGTAGTATAAAGCCACCAGATCAGGATGCAATATAAGCTTGCTGTTTGCATTGATTCATCAGTCAGTTATTAAGTTGGAGTTGGTCACTTCAGTTGTGCAATTGAAATAGTTAAAGTTTTACGTTTGTTATTAGAATTATCTCAATAAAGATGATTCGATTTGTAATCGTTTTTCTAACGTTTTTTTGTGCGTTCGGTGATATAACCGTAGCGAGGTCGTTCGATAATCAAGAAGAAGATTTTATACGGTGAATTTTGTGTATTTTAGATTTCTCGATAAAATGACATAAATTCTTTCTTTATTCTTCAGAGTTCCTTTGTCAAAATTTAATTTTCCAAGCCGAATTCGACGTGAAGTGAATGTAAATGGGAAGAAAGTCGAATTTTGGAATGATAGAAATGTTTGTGTCCAGTTTTTTACACAAGAAGTTTCACATCCATATAAAATAATTGAATTTTTTTCATATTTAGATACATTATGCCATGAATATTTCTGTGGGAACTCCGCCACAACAATTTTCAGTGAATTTCGATACGGGAAGTTCTGATCTGTGGGTGCCATCAATAAATGGAACTTGTCCAATCTTGTGCAGTGAGTGATCGATTCACACTTAGAATTAAAATTGTTAAACGGATTGAAAATTAAAGAACAATTCCGAATAATTTTACAGAATCAATTAATAAGTTTGATTCGAGTGCATCCGAGCAACTGAAACAATTTCTGTAATTTAATGTTCTTCATGTGATTTTTCTCATTCTAATTTTTGTTCCATTATTTATTTATTTATGTTTTCGATTTCCAAAGTTTGCCGGATTAACAATTAAGGGTAACATAGTTTGGCCAATTTTTTGAACCATTCATTTATCATAAAATTCTCTGATCAGCGTAGTTTAAAAAATGTTTTGTGTATCTTAGATCAAATTATCGGCGTAGGCACAGAGCAAACAGTTGATTCATATAATTATCCATTCGATGGAACTATCGGTTGGGCATGGTCTGGAAAAGTAAGCCAAACCGATCCAGACAGTACAATTATGGAAAATTTACAAAAGCAAGGTTCGATCAAAAAACGTCTAAGGTACTAAAATATAATAATTATTTACAAAAATTCAATATAATTAATTTTTCTATTAATTTATATTAAAAATAAGCTGCGTTAAGCTAGGTAATCAAGATAGTAAACAACACGGTGGTGAACTTTTAATTGGTGGATGCGATGTAACCGCCGAACATTGGGTAATAAATTTAGAGAGAAAAAAAATGTGGTATTTTTAATTCAATTTTGGTAGATTTAATATAAAAACAACCAACAACGAATTAAATTTACCATTTTCGAGGCATATTTTTCAAAAGAGACTTATTAGTTGAATAAGTTTTACCAATTGCTTAATTACATTTAAAAACTTTTCGAAACCACAGATGACGCTAGCCCATGAATTTGGTGAATGAAATGAAGCAATTGGTAAAACTTATTAAACTGATAGTCTCTTTTGAGAAATATGCCTCAGAGATGTCAAAAATGGTAAATCTAATTCGTTGTTGGTTGATTTTATATTAAATCTACCAAACTTGAATTAAAAATATCACATTCTTTCTTTCTGTGTACTAATTACTGATAATAAATTTACTGATAATACTGATTGTTGATAATAGGGACGAGTGTCTGGAAACGGACTCTGGCAGATTCCAATTGATAAAGTTGAAACAATCGGAACGGATGGTAAAAGCAGAGCATCAATTTGCCAACCGGGAAACCAAATCTCAAATTGTCAGGCGGTATTAGACAGTGGTGCCGCACCAATCTGTAATAAGCACCAAAACAAAATCAAAAACATTCAATCACATTAATGCATTTTTTGTTTTAATTTTTCAAAGGTGGACCAACATATCTTTTAGATCCGATTGCATCAAAGATTGGTGCAGTCACATATGATGACCAGCAACAAGATTATTTCGTTGATTGTGACGATAAAACATTGGGAAACGTTGAATTTACTTTCGGAAAATTAAAAATTGTGATGACACCTGCCGATTATCTGTCAAAAGAGGGAGTTAGTAACCTTCGATAAATAATGTAAGAACCGAATTATCATTTGTCTCGCCGTTTTTTTTCTAGAACAAATGCCGCCTAAATATGTCTCGCCGTGATGATCTTCAGATACTCTTGTTAGGAGATCCATTTCTTCGAAAAGTGACATTAATCCTCGACCAGGACAATGATCGAGCCGGCCTTGCAAAAGGAAATTGATATCAAAGTCTGTCTAACAATCAACTGCATGATAAATCAATTAACGACAAATTAATGTGAATCAAATCTAACGTAAAAAATGTTTTAGTAATAATGAAAATACTGGTTTTTGGGTTCTTAATAAAATTCTTTAATTTGATAAATTGCGTTTTTAATTTTCGATATAACTGTGCGCTGCTTTCAAAAATTCAACTGAATAAACTACACCGTTTAGAAAGAAGGTCGAAGATTAGTAATTAGTATGAAAACTCATTACTACTGCATAATGAACACATTTCTAAGCGAGAACACAGCATGACAACATCATTCATATCAGCAAAGCTACATTCAGAATAGTATTATTTGCTTATTATGATATCAACATTTACATAATTTTGTAGCACGAACAGCGAACACACTAGCCGATAATGCATTGGCAACAGTTTCAATGCATCAATTGCCAAGTGTTATGCGTTTGAGATCGTTTATCGTACTGACAGTAATGATGTACAAATATTCGATGGTATAATAGTTAAAATACTGACGGAAAATTTGATGAATATGGTCCATGCTCTGCTCGCACTCCATTTAAAGCAATGTATTGGGTTTCGAACACGCAGATGTGCTGCCACCTAGTATCTCAAAGTTAAGCTGCTATAACGCACATGCTTCTTGCAAATGAAGAAGAAGAGGAAAGCAATGTCTTTACATAAGGTTGAACTTATAAATGTCAGAGAGCAGCACAACTGCAGTGTTCAAAGTGCGATTGCCCTTCGATATGGTCGGTGACTGATAAGAGAGACAACATCAGAAGCTCTGATCGATGCCACCAAATCAATAAGCCTACTATTTTTTATACAGGAAAAACTAAGGATTAGGGAGTCTAATTCTCATTGTTGCAACCATATCATTTGACACATGTATCGAATAAAATAATCCAGAATTTAAACTTTTTGGTTGCAACACGGTTGGATGGCTGAAAGTAGGTGATTCTACGACACCACAAATAACAAAAGAAATAACATGTCGAAATTTATAAAACTCACATTGTTGCCTCCTATGTAACAACTAAAACTTGAGAAAAATAATGACTGCGCAAAATTGAACTATACAACAGCGGCATAATAAAATATATAACGTTAATCGCACTAATTGGGTGGCACGCCACAAGCATGCTTCTTAATAGATACCTATTTTCGTTTGCATAGTTTTCAATTTAAATTGCAATCAAAGCTAATCAGCCATTATGCAGTGTAAACTCGAATTCGATTCATTTATTTTTATCCGTTGAATTTGATAGGCGCCAAGAATGTCAAAGGGAAATTGCATAGAATACTATCAAATCGCATCACATTTGTATTGTATTCGCTCTTCAAGTTCATTACCACAAAAATAAATGTGTGCTTTTATAAAAGTCACGCGTTATTAAATTCACGTTACGAATCGAATCGATTAGTATATTTTAAGTTCATAATCTTTATAGTCCTATGCGGTGTAATGTCAATCGAATATCAAACTATTGAAAAAAACCATCTAGATATAATACACTTGCATGGAGAGAAGGTAAAGTACGTTACGTTATTTTACTTCAAAAACAGTTTTGTGATTGATAAATGAATTTTCAACAGATTTATGATTACTATAAATGGCTTGAAAAGAAATCTGTTCGAAAGAAAGAGATTCTTCAAGTCGAAGCTGATACACTGGAAAAATATCTCAATCTAAATACACAAGAGAATGATTGGGTTGAAATTAGAAAGATATTTCACAGTCCGATTGATTACGAGCTATATTCAGATGTTCAATACATCAATGGATTCATTTTTTACACGTATAGGAATTTTTCAAAATCAATTTATAGGCCGTGAGTAAAAATTCGAACAATTTTTTTACATTCCTTTTATATACAATTCATTTTATATGGTGAATATAGAATTTTCAAACGAGTGAAATCAATGAGAGATAAAAATCCACATGTAGTTTTCGATTCAAATAAAATTGAACGAAGTTCAGTAATCGAGCACGAGTACTCGCCGAATGGAAAACATTGTGTTTTTACGATTAGTGTAAAGGATCGAATTGCGAACAAGGCCATGTTAATCGACGTAGAAACCGGTGAAACTTATAATAGTCTGGAATTGCATTGTTTCGAAAAGATCGCGTGGAGTGGTGATAGTAAAGGATTTTTCATCTATGTAAATATTGATGTCTTTTTACAATTATTGAGAATTTCTTATTATTCTGATTAACATTTTCCAGCACGATCCGGAAAGAAAGAAGAAAAGAGATCTTTATTATCATTTTGTAAATGAATATCAATATGATAAGCTGATTGCGAAAATTCGTGAAGAAGATGATGATATTGTGTCGTTTAAAGTCAGCCATGATTACAAATACCTCATTTTATTCGATAGTCAAGCATTGTCTATTGCAAATATTGAATCATTAGACGAAGACATAAAATTTAAACGAATTTTCAAAATAAATGAAAATATATCGTATGTAAGTGTTACAATTGTGTTCCGTTTATAGTTTTCAACACTTTTTTTTTTAATTTCGATTTCGCTTTCAAGGAGTACGTTGGGAATAACGGTGAATTTTTCACATTTCTCAAAAATATCGGAGCACCAAAACATGATCTAGTTGAAATTGACTTACGAAGTAAAAGACTACGAAGTAAAAGACCTGCACGTTACATTGATGTTGTTGTTGCTGTGAGTGAATATTTAAATTTCACATTATATATGACGTTTAGTTTCATACTTGAAATACCCATTTGATGAAATTATAGGAGAACTTTGGAGATCACGGTGTCTTAAAGACAGCTTTCGCATTTTCTTCAAATGCATTCATACTTCTAGTTTATATCGAAAGTTCACAGGTATAAACACCCAAAATGAAATATTGTTCCCGAAGATATCAATAAATGTTCCAATTATCCACAGAGTTCTATATATGTATATTCGTTGATATCAAATCTCATCGAATACAAAATTGAATTGATCGATGAACAATTCGTATCGTCAAAAGTTGATAAATTTGGCTTCTTTTTTGAAACTCGATCATTTAAAACACAAAGAAAAGTGTATAGAATCGATTTAAGTCAGCTTGTCTATCGAGATGCAAAATTAGCAAATTATTATCACATATTTAATGATCGAAATCAGTTTCGGGCTGAGAGCCCACACAAAAGTTATTCAACACTAAAACCACTGCTATGGAAAGAATCTAATATACCGAATTTAGATGGAATTGAAATAGATGTGCAACATGATTCGTTCAAAAGTTTCGACAATACCGAAGTACCAATGACTATTATAAAAAAGAAGGGTGGCAATGATGACAAGAAAAGACCATGCTTGTGCTACGCTTATGGCGGGTATGTCGACAACAAATTTACTCTGCAACGTGAAACTCCAAATTTAGACTTCAATTTTAATGTTTTAGATATGGAGACTCTATCCTACCAAGATTTGATCTTTATTTTCTTCTTTTCATTGAGCTATTCGACGCTATTGTCGGTTTGTACATACAATTTTAATCTATTTCCTTCTATTCAAGTATGGGTTTTTTTTTCTTTTTACACAGTGTTTATCCATATCAGAGGTATACATAGCTCAAAATTACTATTCCAATTCCTGACCGATTCCTTCGATTCTTTTTTCCATTCTGTTCCATTACTGACTGAATAATTTCCATTTTTTTTCTTCTGATCATCTCGAGGTGGCGGGGAGCTCGGTGACGTTTGGTCATTAAAATCATCGGAAATTCAGACAAGTTTCAAAGATTTAATATCGGGAATTTGGTATTTAAAAGGAGAAACATACAGCAACATTATTGATTCGAATAAGATTGCTTTTCATGGGACATCACACGGGGGATTAGTTGGTGCCGCTATAATGAATATTAGCCCAAATTTACTCAGAGCCGTTACCATTCTAAATGGTTATTTTGATTTGATCAATGACCTATTGACTGGTGACAGGCTGAACCAATATGGAAATATCAATATAAAAGATAATTTTAAATATATCAAACGCTACGCGCCACTATTGCACTTATATAATCCAACGAAGAGCGAAGATTCGTACCCCACTACATTGATAGGTATGGAAGTTATGATGAAAACATACTCCATTTTAATTATATTCACCAATTATTTCGATAGTTGTCAGCAAAAAGGATGAAGAAGTCCCATTTGAGCAATCATTAAAATACTTGGCCCATAGACGTGAAGTTTCTGTAGATAATGAATTTCAAAGAGATAAACCAACTTTATTGAAAGTTATTCAGAGTGGCGGTCATAATTATAGGACGGCTTTAAAAAAAGAGTATATTGATACGGTATTCGTTAAACTACAATTTTTAGCAGAAGCAATGCAACTTAAATTCGATGACCAATATCAAAGTAATGTACAGACAAGAGTTGATGTTGAAGAAAACTTACCATAACTTATGATTTCATGTTTAAATGAATTAAATAAATTTATTGGTTTTACATAAAAAAAAATTATTGTTTAATTTATTCCGTACAAATTAAAGTCCTTATGGGCGTTTTCTTCCTTTTCAGTTTCATTCCTTTGAATTATTTTATGAGAAAAGCTAAAAAAAACATCCTCTTCTTTTATTTAGAATTTTAAATTTAATTTTATCATTAAGATGTTCGCCAGATGTTTGTGCAAAATACACAATGCAAATGAATGTGTCTTTTTTTACGCTTTGCGGTCTATTATTATCCGTTATACTTGAAATAAAAACGAAAATATGCCATGAATGTGCCAAAGGGAAATAAAACCATTGAAACATGTTGTTAATAGGTTTGATTGTCACGACAACAGATGTGTGAATTCAATGAGAATCAAATGTCACTAAATCATAAAATCAAAATCGTGTTATTAAGTTTACATTACGAATCGAATCGATTAGTTCATTATTAGTTCATAAACTTTATAGTCCTATATAGATGCGGTGATGAAGCCAATCCAATATCAAATTATTGAGCAAAAGCGACCAAGTTCAATTGCGTTGCATGGCGAAAAGGTAATAATACATTTTTCTACATTTTTTATTCTTCCAAATTATTTGATTTGATCGGTGCATTTTCAACAGATCTTTGACTATTATGATTGGCTGAAAAATGAAACCGAGCGAAAAAATAGGATTTTAAAGAATGAAAAATGTACGCTAGAAAAATATCTCGAGTTAAATTCGCAAAAAAACGATTGGACGGAAGTTCGAAGAAGATTTCATAATCCAATTGACTATGAATTGTATTCGAATGTTCAATATGTTAACGGGCAAATATTTTACAGTTATAGGAGTTTTTCGAAGCCGTAAGTGATTGATTTTGATTCTTGTTTACGCTGTTTTATGTGATCAAAGCTCTCATTAAATTTATTAATTGATTTACAGAATTTTCAAGCGAGTAAAATCAATGAAGAAAGATGAACATTCGTATGTAGTATTCGATTCAAATAAACTTGAACATGGTTCTGTTGTTGAGCATGCATTCTCGCCAAATGGAAAATACTGTGCTTTTACTATTAGCGAAGGGGATGATTCCCATCGAGTCATAGTAATCCATGTAGAAACAGGGGAAATTCAAAACGGAAATAGTTTGCAATTATTCAGTTTTAAGAAGATCGCATGGAGTGGAGATAGTGAAGGTTTTTTCATTTATGTAAATAGATATTGTCCATTTGTACATTTTATATTGGATTCAAATCAAAATGCATTGTAATTATTTGTAATTCAGTATGATCCACAAGGTAGAAAAAAGCGAAATCTGCACTATCATTATTTAGATGAAAATAAGCGCGATAAACTCATTGCGAAAATTCGAAAATCAGAGGCGCACACGGTATCATTTGAAGTCAGCAATGACTATAAATATCTCATTTTATGCGGTAGTCGAATGCTATCCATTGCAAATATAGAATCATTAGCGGATAAAATCAATTTCAAAATAATCTTCGACATTTTTGGAGGTGCAACTTATGTAAGTAATAAAGATGTGTAAAAAAATGTCATCATCCAAAAAAATATATTCAAAATTTCTCTTTTCTTCTTCTACAAGGAATACGTTGGAAATGACGGAGATTTTTTTCTATTTCTTACAAATGAGAGGGCACCAGAACATCACATTATTGAAGTCGACATTACGAGCAAAAGACCTGGCAATCACTGGGACATTGTTGTTTCCGTAAGTGAACATTTATTTCAATTAACATATTTCAATCTTTATTTACCAAATTAATTGATGAAATTACAGGAGAATCTTGATGGGCATGGCATGCTTAAATCTGCCTTCAAATATCGGTGTTATTTGTTTCTCGTTTACACCGAAAACATGCAGGTACACAAAGTGAATCGTTTTGATTTTCCAAAATTAACTAATAATTTTATGTTTTTTTGAATTATCGCGCAGAGCTCCATGTATTTATATTCATTAAATAATCAAACCCCACGCATCGAGTATAAAGTCGATTTGACGGATGAAAAGATTGTATCGTCGACAGTCGATAAATATGGAATTTTCTTCGAAACGCGATCGTTCACAACACCCAGAAAAGTGTATAGGATAGAAATAAATCAACTTGTATACCAGCAGCCTCATGAAACGACTTACTCATTAATCGAACCAACTCTCTGGAAAGAGTCGACAATTCCAAATATGGATGAAATGCAAATAAAAATACAATACAAATCGTATCGTAGTTTCGATGGAACGAATGTGCCGTTGACTATGATACAAAAGGGCGGTAAATTTGCACCGAAGAAACCTTGTCTGATCTATGCTTGCTGTGATTACACTGATTCTGTACTTCCAAGATTCGATCTATATTTTCTTCTTTTCATTGAACTATTTAATGGTGTTGTTGGTTCGTATTCGAAAGTCTTTTAAATGAAAATCGTTTTTATTCGAAATAATTTTTCTTTTGTTTATTTAATGAACAATAGTAATAATTCATACAAGGGGAGGATGTGAACTCGGTGATGAATGGCTATTAAAACCCACCGAAGCTGAGAATAGTTTTAATGATTTAATAGAAGGAGTTGAATATTTAAAAAGAGAATCATGCATTACCAACATCGACCCAAATAAAATTGCATTTTACGGCGTATCACATGGTATGGTGTATATTCGACTCAACTAACAATAGTTTTCCCAGGTTACCCAATAATTTTAATGGTTCTATTGTCCACACACAGGTGGACTAGCCGGTGCTGTGGTTTTGAATAAGAGAAAAAGAGATTTATTCAAAACTGTAATTTTTCAAAATGGTAACATGGATCTAATTGGTGATCTAGCAAATGATAAAGGCAACCTTTGGACTAAACGGTATGGAAGTTTGGATAACAAGGAAGATTTCGATTGCATAAAGAGATATGCACCATTGTTACACATTCAAAAACCAAGCAATAGTGAAGATTGCTACCCCACAACATTGTTAGGTATGTATATGACAAAAACACTCTAATAATGGGATAAATTTTAATTTAATCCATCATTATTTTGATAGTTGCTTCATCTCACGATGAAAAAGTACCGTTTGAGCAATCATTAAAATACTTGGCTCATCGTCGCGAAATATCTGTAAACAACAAATTCCAGAGAAATAAACCGATTTTATTGAAAGTCATTCAGAGTGGCGGTCATAATTATAGGACGGCTTTAAAAAAAGAGTATATTGATACGGTATTTGTGAAACTACAATTTTTGGCCGAAGTCATGCAGCTGAAATGTGCACAGAAATATGATACAATGCGTTTCGCTGTCACTGAGCAAATCATCGATCAAGGTCAGTACTGCTGCATGCAGAAAAAAGCAACTAAAATCATTCAAATAATGAATTTCTTGTTTTTAGTTCCACTCATTGAATATCAAATGATTGAGCAAAGGGGACCCAAGGTGATTGCATTGCATCGAGAAAAAGTAACTATTCATTCAAATCGAAATTGAATGAACACTTTTTTTTTCATAACCGATTGTTTTCCCAACAGATTTTTGATTACTACTACTATCTCAAAGATAAATCTGAACGAAATGACATTCTTGAAGTTGAAGCTGAAACGCTAACGAAATATTTAGAATTAAATTCACAAAAGAACGATTGGACGGAAGTTCGAAGAAAATTTTATAATCCGATGGACTATGAAATGTATTCGAATGTTCAATATGTGAACGATTATATATTTTATAGTTATATGGATTTTTCGAAATCAATCTATAAACCGTGAGTTAAATTTATTCATACATTGGTTTCAATCAAACATTTGTATTTTTGATTCATAGAATTTTCAAGCGAGCAAAATCATTGAAATTGGATGAAGAGTCGCGTGTGATATTCGATTCAAATAAAGTGTTGGGCGCAGTCATTGAACATGAATATTCACCAAATGGAGAATTTTGCGCATTTACTCTTGGTTTAGAGAATCGAAAATCCTATAAATTGGTGCTAATTGAAGTAAAAACTGGAAAAACTCTTGGAAACGGCTTGCAACTGTTCAGTTGTAAAAAAATCGCATGGAGCGGAGATAGTGAAGGATTTTTCGTTTATGTAAATACTTATTTCGTTCATTTGTACATACATTTTTTTTATATTTATTTTCAAATCGAAATCGGTTGTAATATATCTATTCATACAGTATGATCCGGAAGGAAAGAAGAAGCGAAATCTCTACTATCATTATGTAAATGAATTTATGCAAGATAAACTCATTGCAAAAATTCGAAAAACCGAGGCTCATGCAATTTCATTTAAAGTCAGCCACGATTACAAGTATCTCATTTTACGCGACAGTCGAACGTTGTCCATCGCAGATATAAAGTCTTTTGCTAGAGAAATAAGATTTGACTTGATTTTCAAAATGTCTCATGATATAATTTATGTAAGTAAAGAAAAAAGGAAAGCAATGAAATCGTGACTGAATTTCGTAATTTTCCGTCATCGCAGGAATACGTTGGGAACGAGGGTGAATTTTTTACATTTCTAACAAACTTTGGAGCAACAAAAAATCATGTTGTTGAAATCAATATTCGGAGTAAAATAGCTGGAAATCACTGGGACATTGTTGTTGCGGTGACTAAATATTTTCGTATAATTCATGATTTTTCAACGTATGTAATGCGGTAGAGTAGGTTGAAAAGGTTTCTTTTTTTGAATTATAGGAAGATTTGAATGGTCATGGCGTGCTCAAGTCTGCTATTAAATATCGTGATCGTGGTTATTATCGTGGAATTATTCTAGTTTACATCGAAAATGTTCAGGTGCGTATAAAATCATGCTTTTTTTTCTATTTTCTAAACAAGAATGTGTTTTAATTTTCACTCTCTCTGTAGAATTCTCTGTACCTATATTCAGTGGCTAAAAGTCGTATCGAATTCAAAATCGATACAGAAGATGAAAAATTTGTATCGATGAAGCTCGATAGTTTTGGGTTTTTCTTCGAAACACAAACATTCAAAACACCTATAAAAGTATACCGAGTTGACTTCAGCCAGCTTGTTTTTCGTCCACCGCTTTCAACGAGTTATTATACAACAGTGAAACCAATGGTGTTGTATGAAACGAGAGTACCGAATTTGGATACAGTTAAACTCAATGTTCAACACGATTCATTCCAAAGTTTTGATAAAACCAATGTACCAATGACTGTCATTCAGAGAATGGAGACGAATGATCGAAAAAAACCGTGTTTGGTTACAGCTTATGGGGCGTACGGTCTGCCTATGCTACCTATGTTTAAGCTTTTTTTTCTTCTTTTCGTTGAGCTATTCAATGGTATTATAATCATAATTCATTCACGTGGTGGTGGAGAGATCGGTAGGTGATAAACATTTTTATATATATTCTGATGACTGGTAAGTAATTATTTACCTGTTTAGGTGATGAATGGCTATTAAAATCCACAGAGGCCGAAAAAAGTTTCAACGATTTAATAGCTGGAGTTGAATATTTAAAAAGCAGCGAATCATATTCCAAAATCATTGATTCAAACATGATCGCATATTATGGCGCTTCACACGGTGGATTGGCGGGCGCTGTGGCTGTGAATAAAAAAAGAGATTTATTCAAAACTGTAATTTTTCAAAATGCCAATATGGATCTGATTGATGATCTACCATCAAAAGGCCGTATATGGGCTAAACAGTATGGTTTTTTGAGCAACAAAGTAGACTTCGATTGCATAAAGAGATATGCACCACTGTTACACATTCAAAAACCAAGCAATAGCGAATATTGCTATCCTACAACTTTGATGGGTATGTGTAAATCATTATGACAAAAAGAGATTAATAATAGAATACTTTTTAATTGAATCCATTATTATTTTGTTAGTTGCGAGTGTGCGAGATGAGACGGTATCGATTGTAAATTCATTGAAATACTTGGCTCATCGACGTGAAAAGGCCGCCGAAGACAATGAATTTCAAAAAAACAAACCGATTTTATTGAAAGTGATCAATAGCGGTGGTCATCATTACGAAACGGCGAAAAAATTGGAAATCATTGATGCTGTATTTGTGAAACTACAATTTTTGTCTGAATCTATGGACATGAAGTTTGATAAAAAATATCGAAAAAAACATAAACAAACACAATATGAAATTTATTATTAAATTACTGAACTATTTAACATATGTTTATGATTTATTTTCTAAAAATGTAACGATATCGATTTGTAATCGACTCAAAAATTAGAAGAGCACGATAATTCACTCATGTTCCATATGACGTTCCAGAAGTTCGACCAATTTTTGTTTGTCTGTAAAAAATTCGAGTAAAATGATGTTCAGTTGTTCCAAAAGGTCTGAAGTTGTTTCAAAAATTCAACTTACTTTTCCATTTAGCCCATTTAAGACTTTATGTATTCATATAGAAAAAAAACTTTATGTATTTCGAAGAAAACTAAAAAAATACTTGATTATTTTTATTTATTTTTGTTACAACTTACGGCGTCTCTCCAATATCATCTTGAATATTAACATTGGCACCATTCTCAATCAACATTTCAGCGACTTCCATCATATTACCTGAATTTTGATAAATACTACTTTATTGTTCAATGTTACATTTTGACATTAATGAACTCACCAAATGCGATTGCATATATCACTGAAAACAATAGTGTAAAATTAAATACTATTTAGTTGAAACCGCTAAGATTAATTGATCTTACAAGGCGTTCGTCCAAAGCTATTTTTAGCGTCTACGTCTGCCCCATTACGAATAAGCAGATCGGCCAATTCTTCAGCATCATGAACGGCTGTATAGTGGAGAGGTGTTTCATCAGATGAATCTGTGGCCATAACATCTGCCCCGTGTTTAATGAGCAGTTCTGCAACTTTTTCGGAATTTTTCATCGCTGTGTGAATACCAGTGAAAATTAGGTGTCAGGTATAAATTGGGTGTATTATTTTTAACATACCAGCATGATGTAACGGAGTACCATTATCGGATGCTATAGATTGATCTGCATTATGTTTAAGTAAAGCACTTGCAACTACTTCATAATTGTTTTCAGCAGCGAAATGCAGCGGCTGTGATGCAATTAAATTATTTTGTAAAGAATTTTCTTTTCCTGTTTATTCTAATTATTTTATTTATTATTTTTGTCCTACCGTCTTCCCTTCTCTATTTTGGAAGTTTACGTTCGCCCCTTTTTTAAGTAGCTCCTCGACAGCTTCAACATCACCACTTTCACACACACATTAAATAAACAAACAAATACATCAAACAACATTGAATCCAACAAATCAAATCGAACTAATGCGCTCAATACCTTTTTGCCGCATCCAACAGTTTAAATTCCAGTTCATTTTTATCCACTGAATCTTCTGCTTTGGGAATCAATGGAGTGGGTTTAGGTAACCTGAGCGGCAAGCGTGTAGGCAATCTGACAGGTAATTTAGTTGGAAATTTATTAGAAATCCTAATACTCGAACATCCTAAGAGCAAAAAGCGATTCATTATATTTACGAATTTGTTAAAATGAATTTAATGTGTTCAATAACATTGAAGAGGAGAAACAAAGTTGACATTTTCTGACTTTTGTTCGTGTGAATTTTTGTCTGTTTTCCTCTAAACCTTCCAGGCGACACAATTTAATAAGTCTCTCACTTTAATGTTGCTGTGGAACGAAGGCTAACACTTATTGTCAATAATTTATTTTATTTTTTGATGCCGATTTAATTGTAGAATATAATTTATGAACAAACATAGTTAGATACAAACCGATTCCCAATGAAACTACTGTTAAAATTAAAATCAATTGCATTTCGGCTGATATTGTTTTTTGATTGCTACTTGATGACTACTCGAAGTTCAAAATATTACTGACATTAAAAATTAATAAATATTGTCGGCTTTTTCAAGAGTCCGAGACCCTAAAAGGTAAATCAATTAGTATAATAAGTACTAATCAATTGTGTGTCTGCCATCGAGTCTGCCACATAATGTTTACTCAAAATACAAAAAACATATTTTTGGTATTATTAGTATTTTATACTTCTAAATACATTTTAACATATTTGCAACGAAAGATTAAATGTATAAAGAACTATTTTGATGCATAAAGTTTTGTAAAGTTATGTGATCGAAATTTTTATCAGATTTTTTTAAAAATTGGAATAATTATCGAAATCGATTGTATGAAAAAAAAGTGGTATTTGGTTTTATAAAATCACACCCCAATCAAGTGATCAAATATGCAGTGATGATTTCTCGTTAGCCAGCATTATCTCAGCCTTAGCTTACACCAACAACTGGTGTATGCCAATCGTTAGCCAGCTATCTGTGTGACTACGTACGATTCTCACTGACGTTTATGAATGACATACAACTCAGTGTACTTATATGTATGTATTAGCTTACACATTCGTAGCCAGTGTATACATTTGTGGAAAATTAGCCAGCTAATATGTATTATAAAAAAATAATTAGTTATATAAAATAATATCGTGTTTAACGCGTGCCTGGATCTAGAAAAAACGTGATTTCAAAGTAAAAGCAAAGCGTTTAAAAGTAAGAATAGAGAGTAGTTTATAAATTTTATCACCGTATTTTTTATGTTTGCCTTTTTAAATACACCAAATGATGATAAACATCATCAGCTTTTGCTGAAGATTATACATATACACAGTCATAGTTTCTGAGCAGACTCTGCTCAGCAGAGGTCCAAGGGGTTACCTCCCCCTCTGGAGAATCGACTTGGAAAATACCCCTTTACAAATTGAGGAAAAAACTCTTTCGATTTGTTGGGGGAAAAAAAAGGAAGAGCAAAAAAATAGATGGTGGTGCATTGGTTGCCGGTATTTAAATGTATCAATGACATTGTGTGAAATCTTATCTTAGAATTTAAATGTTTTGATAAACTGCTATTATAATAAAGAATTAATGTCTATACTCTTATAATCACATACATGCCATTACTATCAGTCGACAGTACATAAGTCTGATTTTTTACAAAGTTCCTTGAAATGTCTAAAGAATATATGTAGACATTTTGTAGCATAAGGGTAAAAAGTATCGAAACCAAAGAAAATGATAAGAGATGAATGGACCATGAACTCAAATGACTCAGCAACATTTTGACCATATATTAGATTGGAAAAAAGTGAGTTCACAATTCAAAACAATTATAACCTTTTGTTTCCAGTCCTTTCGAACTGATATAGTTTATTGTTTCCACGATTGTATGCATATAAAAAAATTGTTACTCACACACAAAAAACAGTAGCAGTAGAATTGTTTAAATGTATTAGTATATTGCAAATTTATCAATAGATGTTAAAATATCTAAAAAAAATTGTCACTACAATAGCGCTTTTGCCATTTGTTCTGTTGTAGTGACGATTGTATGAAAATACCAATAGATATTTTAACATCCATTGTTAAATTTGCATATATACCAATACATTTAAACATTTCTACTACTACTGTTTTGAGTGTGCATATGCACAGGTAATAGACCAATTTTATTGCGAGAGAGAGAGAGAGTGAGAGAGAGAAAACATTGTACGGCTTGCGACAACTGGACCACACTTTCTTATTTTCTCGTATAGATGAGTCATAAATGTTTATGATTTTACCGTACGATGCTGAACTTTATTTCGGTCAATTGTCCAAACAAAAGTGAAAATTGAGTCAACTCATTATGATTTTTGAAAAATTGTTATCACAATCAAACAAACTATCAACTAAAAAATATTTGTTATCGCTTAAAAACACTTTTCACAGCTGCATTCAGGTAATGTTTTTTTTTTGCATTTCAGATAATGCAACAAAGGAAGATCACACACTGATGTACATGTGTATGTTTATTTGTTTTTGAAATATGTCGGTTGTTAATATTTGATCTTTCCAATTGTCAAACTTAATCTCAAAATGCAATACAAATGCAAATGTGACCAACATGTGCGTAAAGAGATAATTCTCTCTGTATATATTCCATGGATATGGAAGGAAAAATTTAGTATTTTGTGGGTGTTGTTTGAAAAAACAAGCATAGTGCAGTGAGGAACAAAATGGCCATATTAATTAGTTCACTTTCAAAATTTGTGTATTTTGTATTGCTGATTATTTGCATTAATAGTAAAAACGCCGAGTCAGAAACGTCAAATTTTAAATTCATCAACTTTGAGCAAATTAAATATGATCTTTTTGTCAAGACGGATACCATTTCTTCAATAAAAAACAGTAGTCATAACTTTAAAGGAACTGTGGAAAAATGTTTAACCGATTTAAAAGTAATTCAAAACGGCCTGATGAGAGATGAATTTTGGGCGATGAAATGTAAGTGGTATTGAAATAATAGCAATAGTTTCTAAGGCAAACTGTACATTTTCACATGTTTATGCAGTTTTAGATTCATGGGGAAAAATACCATCGGGATTATTAAATGGAAACACTCACGACTTTGGCGCTTTTTCACAGTGCCTTCACATTGAAAGAAATGACGAAGCATACGAAACGCAATATTGCACAGGCAGATTGTTTTTCAATTTATTAGGAAACTCAACACAAAAATCATATCGATATAACATAAATAACATAATTTTTCCCGATGTTATTCAAATTGAAGATTTACCAGAGTAAGTTCATTAAACACATTTTCACAATTTGATTGAGCACTTTAGTTTGACCACGAAACTAATTGTTTTAATAAATTACGATTGGTATCTTTAGCTTCGATAAGCCATACTTTACATTCGGAATTTGTTTACCAGCCTCTTGTCCGCCGCTTGTATTTGAACCTATCATCAATGATTTGATACCAAAAAATGGACATAATGTGTCGATAAAACTTTCTGAAGGCACGTGCCAATTACGCGAAAATGCATATGCATTGAACACATTAGATAAAGTTGTGTTGTGAGTATAATTACATATAAATACATATTTGATTAAATTATTCTAATATCTCTTGTTTTTCTTTTTATCCCTTCAGAGGTATATTGGGTGTAATTTTATTTCTTATTACATTGAGCACCGGCTACGATATTTTCTGTACCTTTAACAAACGTAAGTATCTGTATATTCTAATAGATAAAAACCAATTTTACTCTACCTTCGATCACAATTTACTGTTCATTTCCAGTTGAAAAGTCACCAATTCTGTTGGCGTTTTCCTTTTATACAAACGGATTAAAATTATTTTCCTGCAAAACGAACACAACATCGAATACAATGGATTGCATACATGGCATTCGAGCTATATCAGCACAATGGGTCGTACTTGGTCACGTAGTTATGTGCTATTTAATGTTGCCAATTCAAAATCGAACTGTACATGATACGGTAAAAGTTTCTTAAAGGTTTCTTACTGGGATTTTTTCAAATGAAATTTTCGTTCCATTACAGTTTGTTACACAATATGAAAGTATGTTTATCCTCTCTGCCCCAATCGCCGTTGAGACGTTCTTTGTACTCAGTGGCCTTTTGGTTTCAATTAATTTGCTTGAACATTTTGAAAAAACGTAAGTACCACTTCTCTTCCATTGTCGAAAAAATTTATATGTGATTTTTTAAAATAAACAAATAGATAACAACATCCATTTTTGTATTTTGCAGCAAAGGAAAGATAAATGTCGTTCAATTTTACATCCATCGATATGTTCGTCTTACGCCGCTTTTGATCATATCAATTTTAGTATCGGTTTGTAGATTTGCTGGAAATGGTCCACTTTTGCCAAACATGTTAAGCATCACAAGCAATCAATGCAAACGCTACTGGTGGTCAACTCTGTTATATATCCAAAATTACGTGAATCCAGAGAACTTGGTAAGACCAATTAATCTTTGCGGCTTCAACTAAATAGTATTTAATTTTACTCTATTGTTTTCAGTGCTTCGGTTCTTCTTGGTACTTGTCGGTTGATACACAACTGTATTGTATAGCACCAGCTATCGTATATTTGATTTATCGATTTAAGGCAAAATCATTGGTTCCACTATCACTTCTTGTTTTAGCTTGTATTATAATAACTTTGAGGGTTCATGTGATGTATAATCTTACCACTTTGTACGTATTCCTTTGTATTTTGACACTTTAATTTGCATGAACATCAACTAAAATAATTTTATTTCTATAGGTTTGCACCTGAAAAGATGTACCATGCTTACTATCCAACACACATTCGATTTTCATCATGGCTGGTTGGCGTTATTGCCGGCTATTTCTTCAAGGAAACTCAGAATAGAACTATTCACATTCCAAAGGTATAAAAACTAAACTGTTTTCTCTTTCCAAAAAAAAATTGTGAATATTAATTTTAAACTTCATGTGTTGCATGGTCGATCGCCATGTGCTACATCATTTTTGCCTGCGTTCACAATAGCGGTGGTCTTATCAACTCGTTTCTCTCTCATCGATTTTGGCAACCTTTGTCAAGGCTTTCATATTCAATTTATTTAATACATTTCCCGAGCATCTTGATGGCAATGGGCACAATGAAAACATCGCTCTATTTTACACTCTCGAATACTGTAAGTTTTTCCTTTCAAATTACTTCACTTTATATACCAATTTGATTTCAATATATTATTAATTGAAAATATGTTTCGTTTTTCAACAGTTAATTGCTTACATTGGAATAACAGTACTAACGATCTCAATATCAATCATTACAACTCTGGCATTTGAATCACCCATCTTGGCCATTGAGAAATCACTTCTTCATTCAAAGGTGAGCCAGAAAGTGGAAACCAGACCAACGGAGGAAAAGAAACTAAATTAGACACATTTGATTTTGAAATTTTGTTTTTATTATTGGTCGTATTATTGTTCTAGTTTTTCATAATGATGTTTTTAAGTGAGATAAAATGAAAAATGTACAGAAATAAAAAAGGTTATCTTTCAATATCAATTTATTTCTTGACATGCAATTTTTAATCATTCCAAACGTACTAATTTACTCAATTACATTTTGAACACATTTTTTATCAGTTGCTTTAAACAATTTTAGACATTGTATTATTATCTCGAACACTTTCAAGATAATAATACAATGGCGATTCATGTCATTCCGTGCATTCGTCTCAAAACTGTTTTCTAAACACGTACACATGATAGAGTGTGTAGTATCCTGGAGATAACCGTTTTGTTTTTTTGCAGTGTGACACGATATCTGATATTTTTTTTATATATTATGAAAAAAAAAGAAATTTCTAATTTTGATATTTGTCTTATCATTTTTGATATCGATGCCGTTTTTTTCTAATAATTTTCAATTGTTTTTTATCGATAGTAATTTCAAAAAAAAAATCAGATTTCAGTGATATAAATGGCCGTAATTCAGTGAATTGTTAGTTATTGTTTAAATTAGTTTCAAGTAAGCTTTTTTTGAACGGAAAAGCGATTTAATTGTGAAATAATAATGAATCTGATCAGCCAAATAATTTGGATTCTTTTCGGAGCAAGTATAGACTTGGCTCTAGGTGATGATATCCTTAGACGAAATAAAACTAGAAATGTTGAAGAAGAAAGTCAATTAATATTCTCGCATGTTGTAAGTGAAATAAAATGATAAAAAAAATGATGCAAAATAAGTTTCGTAATTTTTGTGTGAATTTTTTTAAAAAGATAGTACGACATGGTGATCGAAATATATGGTCTGGTTGTCCCAACGATCCATTTGGAGATGAATCATATTGGATTGGTGGTTTCGGCGCACTATCAAATGTAAATATGCACTATTGAATTTAAATTGATAATAATTTAGGATTGTACTACAATCGATTGAACGACGGCATCTTATAATTTTAGTTTGGAAAGCGAGATTTATTTGATTTAGGGCAATATATGCGTACAAGATATCAACATCTCGTTGGAACAAGCTATTCACCGAAAACTGTCTACATTCGTAGTACTGATGAAGATAGAAATTTAATGAGTTCACAGTGTTTGGCAGCTGGTCTATATCCGCCATCCGAGGATGAAATTTGGCACAATGATCTCAATTGGCAACCGGTTCCAGTTCATACAGTTCCATCAACAACGGATTACTTTTTACACTCATTCGTTCCATGTTCGCTTGCCGATAAGCTCTTTAAAGAACTTATGTCATCCGAATTTGTGAAATCCTTATTGGAAAAACATAGAACCTTGATCAGTTTTATGGAAAATAGTTGCGGAAAACCGATTAAAACTTTATCTGATGTCTATAAGACATATAACACGCTTACAATTGAAGAACAAAGAGGTTTTGAGTAAGTATTGCAATTTAACTAGCAAATTTCAAACGTTTTCTTTTTAAATCGTAAATTAATGGTGAATTTTAGTATTCCAGATTGGGCTAAGGAAATTTTAAAATCAAATGTTACACTGGAATATCTATCAGCTGTTAGTTATCAAATTGCTACGTACTTACCTGAAATGAAAAAGATAAGAGCTGGATTTTTAATCAAGGAAATGTTAGATCGTTTTAAAAACAAAACGTTATCAAATTTACAGCCGGATCGATCGCTTTGGATTTACGCTGTCCATAGCACAGGCATTGTCAACATTTTAAATAGTCTTGATGTATTTGAGGTAGGAAAATTTCATAGAAGACTGAAAATATTAATTGTAACAACTAAGCAAATATTTCTTTTTGTTTTTCAATTAGATGATGATTCCACCGTGTGGAGCTAGTTTGCATTTTGAACTATTTCAACAAGGCAAAGAATATTATGTTCAATTGCTTTACAAAACACCATTCACAAAAAATGCGATTCCATTGAAAATTAAAAGTTGTGGCTTCATTTGTTCACTCGATGAAATTTACGAAATTTACAATGACATATTGCCAAAGGAAGATGAGGATTTTGAGTCTCTATGCCGTTTAAAAGTATAAAATAAGAAAATGCACACAAGATTATCAGTACACAGAAAGAAAATATCAGCCGACGCTATACGCAAAACCGACTGGTACGTGCGCTCATACGTTTTTATATCTTTTACATCTATTACCATACGATTTTTCGACTGTGAAGATACGCACAAAGAGTAACGAATCAGTCGAAAAATCGTATGGTCACTAGATGTAAAAGATGTAAAAACGTATGAGCGCACGTACCAGTCGGTTTTGCGTATAGCGTCGGCTGATATTTTCTTACTGTGTACATGAAATATTTTGTGAAAAATTAATACAAATTTCATTGTTTTTTTCTTGCCTATCTTTCAATATCACACTTATTTACTACCAAAAGTATTTATCCAGGAATTCGTCCATTTATGTATTCAACAGCTAAAAACGTAAACCAAAGTAGTTCGTGTTTATGTCATGCAATACAAAAAATATTTTATGTGTTTCTGAATTTTTAAACATTCCCGTGTACAAAAAAAGTGACTGACTATTTTGGGACAAACTGACTGACTATTGACTGTAAAAACAAGCAACCTTAGTTAAATTTAGTTAACTTCAATCAATTAATTTAAGCTATGGTTAACTGCAACAGCTAACTATAGTTGAAAATAATCATAGTCACCCGGTAGTCAAAACGTCCCAAAATAATCGCCTGACTGACTGAGTAACAATAGTCGATTGTTTTCCATACAAAATTTTAAAATTCATGAATATAGCTAACTATAGTCACTTACAGTCAATAGTAACTTAGTCACTTTTTTTCCACTCGGGTTATCTTTATTATGGATGTATTTGTTGAACCAAAAATCAATTTAGAACATAAGCTGACATCGTTTGATTAAAAGGATTTGAAAAATGTCAAACGTAATGCATGACAAGTTATGGCAACAAATTAGATGGGCGCGTCAATGCTTTTCCGCTGAGGTACACACTGATATAGGCTTCTACAACTTTTCCGATTTCATCGCACCATGGAATGTTCTTGTATCTTCTCAAAAATGCGACACATTTATCGGTCAATTCGACATTCGTGACGTCTTTATTTACGGAATCAGCAATATGCTGAATGAGCTTCATAACGTTCACAAATTCACAAATGAATATAAAATCTGGATCCGACCTCATTTGACATCGTTGTTCCATTGATGCGGGTTTACCTTGGCATCGTGTGCACTTGCAAATCATCTTTTCCCGATCCCACAATACCCGTTGCCTATATGTTTCTGGATACGTTAAAAAATTGTAGAATGAAAAGGTGATCACCTTTTTTGACTGGACGAATAGTAACAAAGACATGCTTGCCATACCTTCACCTGTAAGCACATTTGGAGCGCACGAATGTTTTGTATATTTCTCAATGAGCACCGTATGATTGTAGCATTCAACGCCATCAATACTTCCTTGCACCGAATTGTTTCAATGATTTCGTTGATTGAGTTTTGACATCAACTCCTTGGGATAGCCGGCTTCTTTGGACAATTCAATATCGACGAGACACTCGTTGTACATTTTAATTTTTAAGAAACAGCTTGCTCGATTCGCATAAGCCAAACTCAGGTTTTTTGATTTGCTTTCAGCAAAACAGATACTTTCATTGTACGATTTCAGAGCACGCAACAATTCACCACGGCCATAGTGTTCGTTTCCAATTTTACGTTTTCCCAAAGCCATTTGGTCATTCTTGGCGAGCGCTTGAGCATTATTTTGTGCTCGAAGTTGAAGAAATCTTTGCATATTAAATTTTGCTACAGGTGAAGCCAATTTCAATAGATCCGTATACAACGCATTTTTTCGACTTGACTCTTTTTTCCACAACATGATGAAATCTGAAATGTATACAATTATTGGACAAAGATAATCACAATACGAATACTTGTTTTTGTATAAAATTTTAGTAAAATAAATTACGTACCTTTTGTAAGAAATTTAATTTCAACTATGCTTCAATTCAAGATGGTGGAATATTCGTTCAAATAAACGAGACACAATACCGGCTTCTAAGATCAGAATAAAAGTTTTTCTCACGTATTACATTTTGCATACTATATCCCGTGTAGTATACGGGCGCTAAATGGAAGTCGCAGGCGCTCTTATTTGCGCTTTGGAAAAGGAATGACCGAGAGCGCAAAATATTTCGTCGCGCTATCGAGGATTTCTCTTTAAACATTTTCGCATAAAGACAC